TCTCATTTACTTTTTATTTTTCTGTTGTTCTTTTAACAATGAGCAGAATTTTGAACTGAATCCTTTCCTTCTGTCTCATTCTTTCTTCTGCCTTTCTCAGTATTTGAATAATTGAGATAATATTTCTTCACACAGCACCTGTTTTAATACTTCAAGGGGGTGGGAAAACTTTGCAGCATTTACCAGCAAAACAAACAAAACATAACTCTTAACAGAGGTCAATAAACACTGCCAGGTGTAACACTTGAGGAACGGTTTTGTAGGTTTGCCTAACATTTTTATTTTGTTACATGTATTTATTATGATTATCCTTGTGGACACATTGGAAATTGTATTCTATAGTATAGTAATAGTCCTTTGTACATTTACAGAAGTTTCCTTATTCAGCTAATAAAAGGGTTTTTTTGTCCGTGTTTTCATTTCTAGATCTTTTGTGTAATGGTTTATATTAATATGCTTCAGAAGAACCGAGGAAAAAGTTATTCAAGGAACACATGGAGATATTAGGAAAATTTGCAAAGGCCCTGATCTCCTTAATCCACAACCAGAGGTGGTATTCAGTAGGTTCTGACCAGTTCTGGAGAACCGGTTGCGGAAATTTTGAGTAGTTCAGAGAACCGGCAAATACCACCTCTGACTGGAAATTTTACACTATCCTTCCCCTGCCACGCCCACCAAGCCATGCCCACAGAACCAGTAGTAAAAAAAAAATGAATCCCACCACTGTTTACAACTATGTTTCTGCTGCCAACACAACTGATACGCCCAAAAGAAGAGAATATAGGGTTGAACTGTGGAATCCTTGGTTGTTTTCTTACAGACATTTCATTAGGAGCCCTGATGGTGCAGGCTAACTCTGCCTACAGAGCCAGCAGTTCAATCCTGACCAGCTGAAGGTTGGTCAGCCTTCCATCCTTCCGAGGTGGGTAAAATGAGGACTCAGATTGTTGGGGGCAATATGCTGACTCTATAAACTGCTTAGAGAGGGCTGTAAAGCACTGTGAAGTGGTATGTACATCAGGTATGACGTTACCCAATTAGGTAATGTCAGTGCAAGTGAGTGTGGGATTACTCCTGTGTATATGCAAGAAATTAAGGAGTGAAACAGTCTAGCATAAAACAGTACACTTAACAAGGAACTATCATGGGGGAATAAAACCACGCCTACACTCATATTGGCAAGCCAAGGGACTATATAGGGCTTAGTTTGGTGGTCAGATTAATTAGATAAAGATCAAATATTATTTCAGTCAGTTTGGCTCCTGGTTATTTCATAGACACATTCATGTGATTTCCTTGTCTGTTGTGTAGAATGGCTCAACTACTGATTCTCTCGGAATTTGTTTTTTGTTTTTTAATTAATTTTTCAGTCTAGCCCATGGAACTGGGATTCCGCTTCTATCCAAGTGCAAACTAGATTCAATCCTGCTTGGCTTTCTGAGATCTGGACCTAGTATGGCTCCAATTTCTTGGGATTGCCATCCTCATTCTACGATTCATCTTTGCTTATAATTACTTAAAACAGATCCCGGGAGTTAAATAGGAATGAATTGCAGTTTTAGCTAAAAATATTACAAAATCAAAATACAAAATCAAACCTTGTGGTTTCCTATTTCCTGGCAATGGACTTAGGCTTTTATTTATTCTTACAGTTTCCCAAAATACAGAGGTTTTTTGAAGTTTTTCTTGAATATTAACTCCTTTCTAAAAAGAACTAAACCAAGTAATTCACAGATGTGACACTAATGGGGATCAATGAAATTTCTACAGTAAAATTCAAGTCTCAAGTACAAACCTGGTGATTTCAATAACATACTGTAGTTTTTTGGGGTGACAATATTGAAGTGGTTTGACACTCATCTTTGGGGAGCAGTGTTGCTTCAACTTGACAGTTTATCCTACAGACCAGTGGTGGGATTCAATTTTTTTTACTACCGGTTCTGTGGGCATGGCAGGGGAAGGATACTGTAAAATCTCCAGTCAGAGGTGTATTTGCCAGTTTTCCAAACTACTCAAAATTTCCACTACCGGTTCTCCAGAACTAGTCAGAACCTGCTGAATACCATCTCTGCTAAAGACTAGGAATTCATTGGTGGGAATGCCTCCTTCCCAGTGGCAAACAAGTCTAATTTGGCTTAGCTTTTTATGATCAGCCAAGGTGCTGAAGGTAGCTAGATTACAACTGAATTAAAGCACACAAAAATGCCTTAGTGCCACCACAACCAAGGCATGCTGTGGTGCCATGGTGAAACTTCTGAAGATCTAGCTTGTGTTTCTGTACTTTTCAGCATTGGCAAAGTAGGTACATCAGTGTGGGGTCTAAATTTTACTATCCATGAAATTCGACTTATCTTGGCTTGGTCTTTTTAAAGACTTGGTGAAGTTCTGTTTTTTTTAAAGCATGGTTTAGACGCACTGATTAATCTGTTGTCCCTGTATTGTATATGTAATTACATAGTACAGCATGACTCTTGCAGCTGCAAAATGTTTTAAAAATAAGGCAGGTGGGGCATTTTGCTCTGCCTGAAGCCTAAAGGCCTGCCAAGATGGCGAGTAACAAGAAATTACACCGAGTTGTCTATAAGGAGGCATAACATTTATTCTGCAAGGCAGATTCAATAAGCTGTCAGCCCAAATGACAATATTGATCAATTGCAAAAGAAGGAAACATGACCTTGTCTTCCTGAAGGCAAAGGTAGAAGTAGGACAACAAAACTCATTCTGTCAACTTTGTCAAGTTGCCTTTAGTAATCTGGAAGCTTATATTCATTCAGCAGATCATTCCAGTTTTGAAGGATCTAATTTTTCACAATAGCCATACTAGTTTGGGGGACTTTTAACTTGGCTTTTCATTCTTCAAAAACACACATCACTAGCTGTATGGATGAGGTGGTGGAGGTGGGTGGGTGGAGGAATTGGGGTTATATACTACTTTGGTACAAAAGCCAACTATTGAATGCAAAGAACCGATGTGCAGACAACAAATGGTTTTTCTTAAATCCAGTGCCCTCCAGATCAGCATTTCTCAACCTTGCTGGCTGGGAAATTCTTGAAGTTGAAGTCCACACGTCTTCAAGTTGCAAGGTTGAGAAATACTGCTCTGGATGCTCTTGTTCTGCCCTTCCCAGAATCCCCTGTATACATGAAGAATGCTAGAATCCCAGCAATAATTACCCCGGGTTGTCCCCAGCTTGTAAGTCATTCAGATGTCTACCTTCCAATTTCTGCCTAATCCATGTGGAAATATTACATAGACCTGGGACTTGGAGATGGGCTATGCATACTTAGCTAGCTGGGAAATAAAGATGCAGAATTTTGTCCTGATTATAGGAATTCATTGGTTGGAGTTCTGCTTGTGATTGAAAAGGAGGGGCTGCAGGAAGAAATGTCACTCCCTTTTTCTGGCAGCTAAAAAGACCAAAGGAGTACATTATAGTTAAATGAATTTAAAGCTAAATAAATAATAAATACATAAAGTTAATAGGTATTATAGTTCCAAAGCATTTGAGGGCAAGACAAGAAGTAATGGATGAAGCTTATCAAAGAGACATCCAACTTAGGGAGAAATTTCCTATCATGGAAAACAATCAGTGGAACAGTTTGACTCCAGAAGTTGTGGGGCTCCATCCCTGGAGTTTTTAGAAGGAAACAGGACAACCATTTATCTGGAATGGTATAGGGTCTCCCTCTTGCACAGAGGTTGGACTAGAAGACCTCCAAGGTCCCTTCCAATTCTGTATTTGTGACTTTGCTTGTCACAAAGTTTCAAAAGGTGATCATACAACCCCAAGGTGCTGCAATCATCATCAATATGAACCCGTTGTTAAGCATCTGAATTTTGATCACATGACAATGGGGATGCTGCGGCAGTGATAAGTATGAAAAACGGCCATAAGTTACTTTTTTTCAGGGCTGCTGTAACTTGAGTGGTCACTAAATGAATGATTGTAAATCGAGGACTAGTTGTAAACCATTGATTTTTCAAATGAAGCTTCACCCTACTACAATTAGACAGAGCAATAGGAGGAACCATTGCACACCGTGCCAAATGTTTTTAAAAGATTTTTCAAAAGTCTTGGTAATCTTTGGGGGTGACAGAAACGGGGCATTTTTCAGAGTCTTTGGGACAAAAATATAGGACTGTTATGAATGCCTGGCTGCTGGGCTACTCCAGGCTTTTATCAGTGGAAGTATATTCAGCAGTCAACGTCCTTTCTTAAGGATGTATTTCATGTCTTACACAGATTTGCTCTAATAATAATCTGTTGTCCTTAAGAATCCTTAGAATTTCTGGTCCTGAATCAAACTGTTATGTAAACTTTCTGCAGGAGGAAGCCGTGGGTGTGTATGGGATATAAACACTATATGGCTGTAAACTAAGAAAGGTATGGTGCTTTTTGCTTGCTTGTGTGTTTGTTTTTGAGGCTAGAAATCTTTTGCCGATTCTGGGAAGTTTGCATGTGACTCTTTGATAAGATCAAGCCCACTGGCACTGAAAAAAGTGACTTATGACCATTTTTCACACTTACGACTGTTGCAGCATCCCCACAGTCAGGAGAGGCCAGGCGAGGAGATCTGTGCCTCGATGTGAGTGATATTGAATTGGCCACACCCAGTTAATAACATGACCACCAAGCCATGTTCACCTAGTCACATGAACACCAAGCCATGCCCACCATCTAAGCCACGCCCACAGAACCAGTTATTAAAAAATTTGAATCCCGCCCCTGTACTCAGGCAAATACCAGATTCCCCACTTACCAATAGCCAATGGCAGAAGACCTCCAGACTGTAGGCAGGGGACAACTTTGATTCCAGTTTTCTCAAATCTCACCCAGAATCCGAGTTGAATAACATCATGACTGTCCTCTCATCCCCTTATAAGGAACGGTGACATTTTGCAAGGATAGCAGTGGAAGGAAACAACCATCCCCAGATGTTAAGAGAAGAAGTCTTTTAAATTAGCAAGCATCAACAAAGATGAATCACTCCCAAGAGCAATGGAGGAGGAGGAGAAGAAGAAGAAGAAAGGTGCAGGCAACTCCAAGAATAGACATTGAGAAGGCAAAATAACAGGGAAGGGAAAATACTAGTCAGCAACCCAGATCCTAAAATCTAAACAGCTGCACCTGAACCAAGAGAGAAAATTACTAGATTGATGATTGGGGTGCATGTTTCCAAAGGCATAGCAATGATCATTCAGCAGTGAATATTTCACGGATTTACTGCTGGAGTTGGAAAGAAATTACAGTTACTACCAACCTGCCTTCCATCAAGGACCTGTATACCACACGAGTCAAAAAGAGGGCTGTGAAAATATCTACAGACCCCTCACATCCCAGACATAAACTGTTTCAACTCCTTTTCTCAAAACAACACTATAGAACACTGCACATCAGAATAACTAGACACAAGGACAGTTTTCCCCCCGAAAGCCATCACTCTGCTAAACAAATAATTCCCTCAACACTGTTTAACTATTACAAAGTCTGCACTACTATTACTGTTAATCTCTCATCACTCCTTATCACCCATCCCCTCCCACTTGTGATAGTAGGACTGTAACCTTGTTGCTTGTATCCTAATGATTAATATTGACTGTTTCCTAGTATGATTTGATTGCTGATTGTACCCTATGACTATCATTAAGTGTTGTACATTATGATTCTTGATTCTTAACGAATGTATCTTTTCTTTTATGTATACTGAGAATATTTACATGGACAAATTCCTTGTGTGTCCAATCACACTTGGCCAATAAAGTATTCTACTTGAAATGCTTGGCTGTTGAAATCCTGCCATCTAGTGACTACTTTATAATTTCATCAAAGAAAAAGAATAGGAATAGGAATAGGAATAGGTATAAGTATAGGAATAGGAATAGGAATAGGAATAGGAATAGGAATAGAAGAGAAGAGAAGAGAAGAGAAGAGAAGAGAAGAGAAGAGAAGAGAAGAGAAGAGAAGAGAAGAGAATTCTTTATTGGCCAAGTGTGACACACAAGGAATTTGTCTTTGGTGCACATGCTCTTAGTGTACATAAAAAGAAAAAAAATTCATTCATCAAGAATCATAAGGTACAACACTTAGTGATAGTCATAGGTTACTAATAAGCAATCAAATCATACCAGGAAACAAATAAAACAATATAAATTATAAAGATACAAGCAGCACGGTTATAAGTGGGAAGAGATAGGTACTAGGGAGGATGAGAAGAATAATAGTAATACAGTCTTAGTAAATAGTTTGACAATGTTGTGGGAATTAGTTGTTTAGCAGAGTGATGGCGTTTGGGAAAAAGCTGTCCTTGTGTCTAGTTCTTTTGGTGTGCAGTGCCCTATAGCATCGTTTTGAGGGTAGAAGTTGAAACAGTTTATGTCCAGGATGTGAGAGGTTTGTAGATAATTTCACAGTGGTCTTTTTGACTTATGCAGTATACACTGGCAAACAGTACTAAAACCCATAAAAAAGGCATACAGTATTAAACCCAAGCCAATTCATTGAACGTTTTGATAGGACAAATTACTGTATGCTTCTTTCTATTTCTGTTCAGTCATTTTATTAATTATTCCAGGTCTTCCGTGTCAAGCTATGCACCATGCAAATTCAGTGAAATATATCCTCCTCTCCCTAAGGGATGATACTCCTCCAGCATCCTCAGAGGAAAAAGGAACTATTTTGAGCACCTTTGTGACAATCTACTACACCTTGGGCATGGCAAATCTGATGCAGAAAGAATAATATCCTTGCCAGTGGCCAGAGCAAAGGAGTTGAATATGGGAAGCACAAACAAAATTCTTTTGCACAGATGAGTACTTCATCAGATAGCTTGGGGTCTTTCCATCAGTAGGGGTAAACCAGTGCTGGAATATAAGTGTAAAAAGTTATCACCCACCCCTCTCCTAGAAGAATGAAATATTTTGGGGGATATTAAAAAAAAGGTGGAATATTATATTTCCCTAGATGAGAAATGGAGAAACATGTTTTTTTAAGACAGAAAACATACTCTAAGTCTTTCTTAATAGCCTCAGCAAATGCTGAGGCCAGCTTTAATGAATTGCAGATTTGGTAACCCATTCAAGGCAGGGTATTATGAAACAAAGGCAGAATTAGGAAGAATGGTAGGATTAGCCCTCACTCAAGATCCAAACTAGGAAAAAGTCATTAAGCCATAATAGGAACTGTCCAACACGCCTTCAGAACACAAGCCCCTTAATTTCATCGTCTCAGTTGCATCACCCCCAGCAAACTTCAACCAAACCTGGGAGCTCCGACAACCGCCTAGGATTTGTACTTTGCCTATAGAACCAGCTATGACCCCTACATGGCCCCATGGGAGTCTGACAACAACCAATAGAATAATGTTCTTGCACAGGAACAGTAAGCTCAAGTGCAAAGCCCTCGCTCTCAACTCCATGTGGTCAGCTGCACTAGAAGCATGTGCTTGCTGGTTCTGCTTCGTCATTAAACCCTCTTTCCATTCAGCCTCCATGTTTCCAGGGTCTTTCTCCTGGCTTGGAACTGTACCAGATGGATATTTCTTCCCACATAAGGTTGATGGTTTAGCAATATAAAAATATAAATAATTAACCAAATAAATACATACTGGGTAGAATGTAGTCTGGATTCCCGGGAGGGAGGAGCATTTTAGAGACTCAAGAGGCAGCTTGGTTGAGGGGAAGAGGGTTAAGCTGCTTCTCCCTAGGTGTTCCCACAGTATAGCTTTAATAATGTAAGGAGTTTGCTTTAGGTTTGGCAAGATTTCTGTCTATGAGTGAGAAACAATCAAAGAAATTGCTTAGAAGATACTCAGCGTGTCTTTCTTGCTTTTTGGAGCCTGACAAATTGATTCAGGGTAGGGAAGAAGCATCAGGCCTTAAATGAACTTCCATTATTGATTTTTCCTTGACTTTTCTACCACCAAAGAATGTTACTGCAACCTGCAGAAGGCTGAAAAATGCCTGGAAGAATTTCAGGGGTTAGATTGGAAAAGAGCTGCCAAACTTAAAGTATGCACCAAGGACATTATTGTGGCACTTGGCAGGTAAGCAAAAAATATGTTTAAAAGTGAACTGATTAATAATGACAGAGATGCATTATCTGAACAGATTAAGGACAGAGGTGACCGATGGGCCACATATACAGGTATGTCCTTGGCTTACAACAGTTTGTTTAGTGACCATTCAAAGTTACAATGGCATTGAAAAAAGTTACTTATGACTATTTTTCACACTTACAACCACTGCAGCATTCCCATGGTTTGCCTTACCTAAATTGGCTTGCTTAAGGTAAAACTCAAAACTTACCTGGGGTCGTTTAAAGTTAATTAGGACCTAAGCTGACCAGGAAATGACCCCTTTCTGAGTTTTGAAACTCTATATCTTTAAAATGACTCCTGTTGATTGTGATGTGCCAATCCAAGCTAAGTATTGTTAGAAGCATTTCTGAATCTTTTAAAAAACATGTTTTTCTAGATTTATGTCCCATATTTCCTTCAGAGGCTGAAGGCCCCATAACTAGCATTTTTTCCTTGCATTCTTCTTCCACAACTTCTGTGTTAGATAATTTGGTTTGAGACTGGACCAAAGTCAGGGAACTTCTCTCAGTGAAATTAGACTTGAACCAGATTCTCTCCAGTAAACAATTTGGCAACTGCACCAGAGGTGGTATTCAGCAGGTTCTGACCAGTTCTGGAGAACTGGTAGCGGAAATTTTGAGTAATTCGGAGAACGGGCAAATACCACCTCTGACTGGCCCCACCCCATCTATTCTCTGCCTCCCAAGTCCCAGCTGATCGGCTGGGTCTTCTTTGGTTGCCCTGCCCAGGAGAATGGATCTGGAAAGCAGGTTAGCGGGATGGAGAGGGAATGGGGATTTTGCAGTATCCTTCCACTGCCATGCCCACCAAGCCACGCCCACCAAGCCACACCCACAGAACTGGTAGTAAAAACATTCAAATCCAACCACTGCTGGATATATATCTCAATAAAAACAGACTCTTCTGGAAAGCAAAAAAGCCTAAGATTTGATTAATTCTGTTCTTATGAGATATTGGTACAGAATTCACTTCACCTTTAGGATAGTTTGGAAGGGTTCAGTTCCAAGTGGGAAGAAAGACACTGGAAACATGGGGTCTGCTTGGAAAGATGCTTTAATGGTGAAGCCGAACCACCAAGCATGTATGATTCTGGGTAGCTGACCACATGGAGAGTGAGATATATTTATACCCTCTGTTGGGCTTTGAACTTGCTTCCTGTTCCTGTGGCAAGAAATGTGTCCTGATTGGTTGTCTGACTCGCATGGGGCCATGCAGGAGTAACTTTGTAGGTTGTCTTGAGTCCCAAGCTTGGTTGAAATTGGCTGAATGATGCAATGAAGGGCCATGAAATGGCGCTGTCTGGAGGAAGTAGATCTTCGTTATGTAGAATAGACAGTTGCAGGTCTTAATGGCCCATTAACAAAGTAGTGGGGCTGAGTTTCTGCCTCTCTGAGTTTCTACTGCTTTTTTAGGGGAAATATTCTTCCTTTTTAATATATCCTAAAATATTTCATTTTTCTAGGAGAAGGGTGGGTGCTAACTTCCTACAGATAGAAGGAAAACATATTTTTTTTCCCTAACTGGAAATATTTTTAAGCCTCAAAAAGCCAGGGGAGTTAGACCTTATAAAAGCATCCCAAACTCAGTTGATCAATTTGTCTTTGTGGTGGTGGTGGGGAAATTCCTGTGTTACTACAGCAGTTAGACTTATCCGAGAATGAGTCCTATTAAAGGACTGCCTAGGGAAGACTACCTAAGATGGAAGCCCAGTTCTCCATCACAGCAAAATCAAACCTAGCTCAGTGGAGGTTATGTAAAATCTGATCTCTGCCATTGCATCCATCTATAAATGGTAGGAGCAAGGCTCAATTGGCTTTATGATACACATTGCATCAGGCCATTAAGCAGGTTGGTTTGGTGATGGCTTCCTGACCTACATGAACACAAGCAATTTGTGAGCTTCATCGCCATTTTTCAGAGTTATTTTTTTTCCAGTTGCTCACTGTAGTAGTATTCTATCCACATCCTACTCAGGTCAGAGCATTTTCAGCTTTTAAGCCTAGTTGGCCAGATGCTGCCAGTTGCCAGGCCGTTTCTTTACTAAGAGTATCAAAAACGAAGAATCGGTAAACAAATGAAAGATAATTTATAAGATTTTATTACTGTTGATACCTGAGAATTTACATGAAAACATGGTTCTGAAAGATTCTATTTCGTGGTTGGGGAATGGAGGGTTAATCTGGGATGCTTTTTAGGCAACAGTGGGACTCGGGTATATATGGACATATTCATGACTCCATATGAGAGTATTATAAATGTCATAGAAGTACCAATAGAAGAGAATATTATAGCATTGATAATGTTACCTCGTTGGGTAATGAAACGTCTGCAGGAAAACGAGCATCAAGAACCCCACTGTCCCAGAAGTGGACAGAAATTGAAATATATTAAGAGGTTAAAATATTTGGAACGGTCCATTTTAGAGTCAACATTTTGCACCTCACCCTAAAACAGGCCTCCATCTTATTGAGTTTATTGTATATTGAGATTGAACTGGGACATAATCCCTGCAGCACTATTTTGAGTATTTCTTACTCCAAAGGCAGTCTCATTGAGTCTCAAAAATGCTTACCGCCTGGGAATATATTCCAAAGTAGTTGGATAAGATTGGGGAATATAGAAGAGATATGCCAATACATTACATTTTCTCCTTTTTATCTTTTTCAAAAATTGTCACTAGGGGCAGATTACGCTTGTATTTCCTGCAATAATACCCTCGATCCAGCCAATATAATCGAAGACCTTGGTGTAGACGCCCGGTTCAAGAAGTTGGGCACAAGGAAAGCGCCCCCAAGATACAATGCCTTGGATTTGTTCATTACAGATGAGGGGTCCCCCAGAATCACCCTGTTGAGAAAAATCAAACATGGAACATCACATTACTATCTAAGAATGGAAGTGGAGCAAACAGTTTCCTTCCATCGTCCATTCCCATATAACCCCAAATGTTTTCACTTCGGTGTTCCCCAATGCAGGATCCTTGTACAATTTAACTCCTAGAGTGTCCCCCCACCAGGATCAACGGTATTGAGTATATAACAGTAAATATTCCCAGGCAGTAAGCTTTTTTTAAACTCTGGAAATCCAGACACCTAGAAGGCACTGGAATTAGAAAAAGCTGTGACTTGGTATGCATCTTTCTACAAGATGCCTTCAAGGCTCAATCGCTTATCATAGCTTTGAAAACTGGCCCTGTTTCTTTAGGAGTCTGTCTTAGAAGGGATCATCTTACCTTACATGAATCTTTGCCTCCTTCCAGGATACCTGCACACAATGTGTTCTTCCCTGACATTGCTGGGTAAGCTGCTTGACACACTGGATTATGGAGTATATTAATGTCAACACAATGAGGGACTTCGGGATAAGTCACTGAAAAAATAAAAATAGGTGAAGTTACACAGTTCCACCTTTCTCAATTTACCTCCTAGATACATAGAACTATAACTTCCATTGTTTCCAACCAATAGAGCTTATCTCACTGCCTCAGAGTAGAAAGTATTGTCTTTCAAGATGTCCAAAGGGGACACCTGGAAAAAATAGATTTAGTTAAATGTTTTGCAAAAGGTGGTTTTTGTCAAAATATTAATAGGTAAGGGTATCTGAAGGCTTCTCAACTTCTTCCAGTGCTCTGTGCAAAGATTGCCTTGTGGGCAAAGTAGGACTTTTGCTGGTTCAAGGGTCATATAATTGATCTGGCATCTTCTGGAGAAGATCTAGAACACATTTGGCAGCTTTCACATTTGAAAGCTTTAAGAATTGTGGACTTCATTTCTCAAAATTCCTCAGGCAACATACTGAAACTTCCATATCTGAAGATGAAGCAGCCCATAAGCTTGTATTGTGAAGAAGAACAAAAAGGCAGGTATTGTGTCTAAAAGATGGATATAAGTCTTGAGGAAACCAAGGAAAAATGTCATCTGAACCAGACAAAGAAAGCTGAGTCTGAGAACATGGAATAAACTCAATCCCAGCTAATCAACAAATAGCAATAGCACTTAGACTTATATACCACTTTACAGTGCTTTGCAGCCCTTTCTAAGCAGTTTACAGAGTCAGCATATTGTCCCCAACAATTTGGGTCCTCATTTTACCCACCTCAGAAGGATGGAAGGCTGAATCAACCTTGAGCCTGGTGAGATTTGAACTGCCAAATTGCAGTCAGCTGGCAGCCAACAGAAGTAGCCTGCAGTACTGCATTCTAACCACTGAAACATCGCAGCTCTTACTGCTTTTGATGTTTGGTCTTACTTGGTCTGTAGCTTGGTCTGAAAGTATAGTCAGAGATCCCTACCTTGAGGAGATGTGGTTGTGCCCCAGCCCATAACACTGCAAATTGAGCCCATACTGGGAGGGCTGGAGGGCAATCTAAGAGGCGCAATGTGTTCACTATAGTTAACAGAACTGTTCAGCCTGATCAACATGATATCTTGGCTCCATTGGGTACAGTTCTTCGTACTGAGGCAACACAACTTCTCCTTCGGGACTCTTATCTGCTCATCCTCAAAGTGTACATGTACATTATGCACACCAAGCCTTATCTGGATATCGTCCCTACAAGAAAAACAATGAAAAGTTAAGGAGTCCGTGTGGTTCTGATATTAATGTTATGATTTCGTATTGCACACATCCTCTGTCAACCCAACCTATTTCGAAGGATTTTAGGATAGATAAAGACGAACACAAGATCTGCTCTTGTTTTGAAGAGCTATGGAGATTTTATTATTTATTTATTTGTCAAGTATGTATTAGATAACAGATATCAGTATAAACATGATACATGAAATGGATACGAATAAAAGGGAACATTTGGACAGGGACAGTAAGCACGCTGGTGTGCTTATGCACGCCCCCTTACAGACCCCTTAGGAATGGGGTGAGGACAACAGTAGACAGTGTAAGGTTAAAGTTTTGGAGGTTTTGGGAAGAAACCAGAGAGTCAGGTGTGGTGCCTTGCCCAGGCCTTTGACAAGGGAGAGAGAAGCCCCTCACATGTTTTTATCTTTTATGCTTTTTTTTTTAAAAAAAAGAAATTTATTTTCTTATTGCAAACCCCCAGAGCCAGGTAGCATATGGTTAATCTATTCTGGTTGGTTGCACAGTCAGTCAGATATTTAGACTGGATTTGCCATTTTTATCCACCTATCGAGTCCTTCCTGAGGACCTGGTGTAGGTAGATGTTGTGGTTCCATGGTATTAAAGGGATTGTCACAGGATGTAAGCTGTTCCAAGTAAAGTTGCCTTCTGCAATTGACTGTGGTGATTTTGTCAATGCTGATATGAAGGTAATGTTCCAGATATTGTTTGTTGTTATTGCATCCCAGAAAAAAAGGAAATACTATGGTGAAGTAGAAGGAAATTATACCATAAATATAAACAGCATTGCTCAAGATATGATTGTGAGGAGCAGTAGCAGCAGAACACTCATTCAAAATGCATAGAGAAGTCACTACAAATTAGCAGAAACATTATAACAAAACTCTGGATATTTAAGTACAATCTCCCGCAATCCTGCCACTTTCTGTAATGCTCTCACCTGTTGCAGTGTGCAGCGGTGAGCACCCATTCGTGGTTGAGCAAGGTCCCTGAGCAGAATAACCCGGCAGAGTTATACAAGTATACAAGGAAAGGATGTTTGCTTTTGTAACATTCAGAACCTCCCATGATCAGTTCAACAGCGTATGTTTCTGCAAAGAAAGATTCACTGTTTGGCTGTGGAATCGAACAGAATCACTTTTATTAGTAGTGTTTCTATCAGTACTGTAATTTTGGAGGGGCCCAGAAGACTGTGGGACACACAGCATCAAATCTGGATTATTTGCAAATCATATACATGCCTATATCAATATAGGTAAACTATCTGTGAATCTTTAAGTGATTAATGTGTGTGTGTGTGTGTGGTATATAGACTTATATACCGCTTCACAATGCTTTACAGCCCTCTCTAAGTAGTTTACAGAGTCAGCATAATTGCCCCCAACAATCTGAGTCCTTGTTTTACCCACCTCGGAAGGTTGGAAGGCTGAGTCAACTTTGAGCCTGGTGAGAGTCGAACTGCCTAATTGCAGTCAGCTGGCATCCTGCAAAAACAGCCTGCAGTACTGCATTCTAACCACTGCTCTTTACACTAGACTATACTAAACTTAAATAAATCTCAGGATGATATAATTCAAGGTGTATGAGTGAAATTAGGAGCTCTACCTTTGAGAGTGGTGTTTACCGTACTGATGCTTCGTTGGATTTCATCATCATATGCAGACTCTACATCAAATGAAGAGCAAAGGTGACATATTAGGCCAAAAAAACTCATTTAAATCAGCGTTTCTCAACCTTGGCAACTGGAAGTGAAATAGAAATTTTTAAAAACCCCAGAATTCTCATTCAGGGATCATACAGTTATTTAAAGCAGTGTCTTGCTGCTGGAACTGTGGAAGCTCCTTATAAACAGCAATATCAATGAGCTAATTGTACTTTCAACCAATTAAATCGGTTTTTTTTTCAACTTTGGCAATTTGGAGATGTGTGACCTTCAATTCCCACAATTTCCCGGCAGAGTATGGAGAATTCTGGGAATTGAACTCCGCACATCTTCAAGCTGCTGGACAAAGGCCATAATCTGCAAGCTTGAACAAGCAAAGCTGGAGACAGGTGTTGTTGTGGTTAGCAGGCAGCGAGGACTCAGATGAGGGGCCAGGACCATTAAGGAGTGGACTGCTGCCTTCAGAGATTGTGGGGGCTGGCAGCAGTGATGAGGAGGTTCCCGAGGAGCCTGTGCCAAGTGCGTGTGCGTGCAGGATTGCTCGTAGGAAAGAGCAGTTACAACAGCACGGGTGACTTGGGAGTAAGGCTGCAAAGTTATGGCCCCTCCTTCAAGAAGATAAAAGCCAACTGTGAAAATAACCTTCTTTGCAGAAGGCAGACATTTTGAAACAGCCTCGCGGACATTACAGTTGGTATTTGAAGACTCTTGTAAACTATTTCTTATCTGTTGTTTTTTGTCAGACTTGAAAAAAACTTGACAAGGCTCTTCCTTGTCGGAGCTAATTAGTTGGAAGCAGCCTTTTGTCTGTCAAGAAACAAGATTCTTAGCTGAAACTTCAACAGATTATACAGCTGCCTTTGTCTTGTGTTTGCTTTCTTGGAACCAGATTTGGGTCAGAAAAGGTGTTCAGTCCTTTTCACACAGTCCCCCCGCACAGTGGGGAACTAGTTCTTAATACAGGTAGTTCTTGACTTATTTAGCGACCGTTCAAGGTTACAACGGCACTGATTAAAAAAATGACACGGCCATTTGTCACATTGACTGTTGCAGCATTCCCACGGCCACATAAAAAAAACCAGGTGCATAGCATCTGACTCCTATTTATGACGGGTGCAGTGTGTCCCTGGCTCATGTGATCACTTCTCACAAGCGAAGTCAATGGAGAAGCCAGGTTCACTTAAGCACCGTGTTACTAACTGAACAATTGTATTGATTCACTTAACAACTGTAGCAAGAAAGGTCGTAAAATGGGACAAAACTCAGGGTTAACAGATTTTTTTCATTTAAACAACAAGCATTTTGAACTAAATGGTGGTTTGTAAGTTGAGGACTACCTGTAGATTGCTAAATCTGACTTTGCGGGTCTCTACAGTTCTACTTTCCAGGACATTTTTTTTGCACACCGGTTAAGGTCCTTGTACTGAAGATGAAAACTGGGATCATCTTAGTCAAATCAGGACATACAATGAACAGTAATTCCTGGGTTTCAGATTTACAATCCAGGAGAAAGTAAGTACAAACAAAAAGGAATTTTCAAGTCTCAGATCTAAAAAAAATAGTATACATCTCCAGTAATGCTGCAAACAGGTTAAATCTCATGATTCTGATGGCTGAGATCTAAGACATCTGGTCTTATCAAAAGTTCTGGCATATTTTGCGACTTCCAGTTTGAGCTTCTTCGGTGACAGACTGAAACCTCATCTCTCCGAGGCTTCAATCCATGCTCGCTGCTGGAGCGCCCCGAGCTGGCTGGTTTTGGGGTTAAGCCACCCCGTAGAGGTGGTGAAGAGGGGGAAGACTGCCTGCAGGGTTGAGGAGAGCCACATCTCTCCTCCCCAGCTGGCCATTACTCCCTTTCCCGAAGGCGGTTGTAGTGGTGGTCAGAAATGGCCACCACAAAGAAGAACTCAACCGGAAAAGAATGTGCAGGAGGAAGATAAGAAGAGAAAGTTTTGGTTGACCAGTCAAACAGCAAAAGCAACAAATAAGGTACCCTGGAATTTAAACTTAACAACATTGTTCCCAAAGAAGATTTTGAAGCTGCGAAGGAGAGAGAGAAGGGAAAGGATTAGGTTTTTTTTTCTTCCCTTCCTTATACTGACAGCTAAGAGACTTAAGCAAGAAACTGAAAAAAAAATCCACTTTGACATAAATAGGCATCTAAGCTGAAAATAAAAGTCAAAGGGATAAATAAAGATTTCTGGACATTTAAAAGTTTTTAAAAGTTGGAAAGGAGAAAAAAAAAGAATAGAAGGGCAGGATCTGGAAAAATGGAGGAGACTGCCTGGAATTAAGGAATGGAACTGTAATTAAAAGGAACTTACAGTGAAATTTTAACAAGATTCCTCAAAGATACATTTTAATGGAAACTTGGTAACAAAATAATAGAACGCCAGGAAGAGAAAGTGGAAAAAAGAAGCAAGTAGAAACAGCCTTGGATTATTTGGATTACTTGGTGATTTTTCGTTTTTGCATCTAGATGACTAAAATTAACTGGGTGGTTGTTTAAAAGTTTTTAAAATGGTATCACTCTTAGAAGAACTGAAAACGGAACTTAAAAAATGAAAAGAAGATGCACAAGAAGGGAGAAGTTCTTTTGGCTTTGTGTTTCAATTCTTAGAAATGGAGATCTGGAACTATGAGAAGCAATGAGAAACGCTTGCAGAACAAGAAGATTGGGACAAAGAAGAAGCCATCTTTAATGATCAAATAATTTTAAGTGAGGAGAAAAAAGAAAAGGGGGGAAAGAGAGTGAAAGGTTTGACATTAGAAAAAACAACCAAAAAGAAGAAGAACAATTTGAAAGATAAGTATAATATTAGAAAGCAACAGAAGAGGGGATTACAGATGAGAGAGTTAGAAGTAGAGAGACGAGGGGGTAAAAAGGGGAGGGGGAAGAAGAGGGGGAAGAAGGCAAGGAAAAGAAGTTGTAAAAGACAGAAACAAGAAATGGAGAAACAGGGAAAAGATATAAGGATTGTAACCATAAGTTTGTTTAGAGATAATGGGTGAATATTTAATTGTAAAAGGAATTCTGCAAAGGTACATAAGATAGCTTTGTTATATTACAAATAGAAATAACTTTAGAAAATATGATGATGGATAAAATATTTATTGTAATGTAGTGGGATGTTTGTTAATAAATAAATGAATTAAAATGATTGAGAGAATTAAAAGGGAACATTTTTAATTATTAGTAATGTTTTATAAAAATATAAGTGAGAAATATGGGGGAAAAAAGAATTAACTATAGAGAGTTTATAAGTGTTCCCAAGGAAGTATGATATTCAAATGAAAAGAAATGTTAAAGATGTTAAGATTTTAATGTATATTAATGATAGAATTGAATTGGAATGGAATGTGTTTTATTTACACACACATATATATATTTCTTTTTAAGAATATAGTGTCTATTTTAAGAATGTACCAAGCAGAATTCTATTGGAAGTTATGTATTATATTGAATGCTATAATCTTAAAGCTATACATTGAAGCTTAAATAAGAGCTTGAATGGATAAAATTAAAGGATATAAAGGTGTCATATTCTAATTGGTAACTACAGGGAAAAATTTGCTTAATAAGAAAAGATAATGTGAAATTGTAACAGGACAGACAAAGGTATAAATATAATGATTTGAATTGAGATAATTAAAACAAAGTTGAGAAAATTAGAAGAGGGGAAAAACTATGTAGAAAATATAAAATAGTAATAAGATATGGAATAGAATATAAAAATGAGCATGAAATTGAGTTTTGTGTCTGTATGAAGAAGTGATAACCTGGGACCATGCTATTTTCAAAAAAGATGTTTTATTTGTATTTTGTTTTTGTGAAAACCCAAATAAAATTTTCAACAAAAAAAAAAGTTATGGCATATTTTGCTCTGCTTCTTTGCTGCTCAAGAACTTAACGGTATCACTGCCAGTCAGATTATGCTAATCAGTTGAAGGAATAAGACTAGTTCAGATTAGCTTCTAAAAAGGATGGGCTTTTAGAAGAAATTGGTCCAGAGTCTGCTCTTGCACTACTGGATTGCTAAGCAAAAAAAAAAAGGTGGCTTAATGGGGGGCAGAATAGGAGATAGTAGCAGAGAAAGTGGGGAAATGATTGATGAAACATGGAATATAAACTATGAATTTGGATGGGAAGTTGATACCATTTGGATTTAGTTCACTAAAAACCGTTTGAGCCAACACTGATGGCAGTAAAATCCCTATGTGCAAGTTTTGATATTTGTTTCAGAAGCAATGACCCAGATGTTGCACGTTCTATAATGCAGCAAATCTAACAGAATGGGAGTTAACTTAAATCCAACAGATTTGTTTTACCAGTTGGAACAATAATCAATGTCCATTTCATACCCCATTTTTAAAAGACTATCCTAAGACTAAACCCAGACTAAACCCAACCTTTTTCTCAATGAATTTTATATTAATATGTTATCTTCCTCTATTGAATTAGTTGCCAAATAAATGGAAACACGAAGGCCCACCAAGCCATGCCTACTATACTTGTGATTATATATTTTTAATTGGCTAGTTTTGCTGATATGAATCAAATGTATCCATTCATATTATCATTACACATACAGCAATGGTCTTCTCCATTTGAACCAACCAGGCCTTCTTCCCCCACTCTCTACCTGTAACCTGCTTGTTCATCTAGACTTAATTTATTACATGAAGTTTTACTCATGTAACTCGAGGTTTAAATTGAAAAGATGCCTAAAGTCCTGTTTACCTTTTGTTCCATTGTCCAGGCTCTTACTGTAAGAAAGCTGTAGTATCAGAAGGTTTGCTAGCACTCTGATCATTGCCATAGCTTCCACTCTGTGTGGCAAATTGTTTGCTTGGACTTTAGAAATTTGGCAAGAATACACAGATCAAAATATTTGATTAAGCACATTGTTTGCTTCCACTCCAAGGCCTAGATACAGATGTGAAAAAAGAAGCCAAGTTCTCACCCTTCTATAAGCTGGTTCTATATCATGCACCCCGAGGCACGAAAGAATACCGCTAATAAGATTGGATACCAGAGATGGTATTCAGCAGATTCTGACCAGTTCTGGAGAACCAGTAGCGGAAATTTTGAGTGGTTCGGAGAACCGGCCAAAACCACCTCTGACTGACCCCACCCCCATCTATTCTCTGCCTCCCGAATCCCAGCTGATCGGCTGGGTCTTCTTTGGTTGCCCTACATAGAAGAACAGAGCTGGAAAGCAGGTTAGTGGGGTGGGGAGGGAATGGGATTTTGCAGTATCCTTCCCCTGCCACGCCTACCAAGCCACACCCACAGAACCGGTCGTAAAAAAAAAATTGAATCCCACCACAGAACTGCACCACAATCCAGCTGCTGTTTTTATTTTTATTTTTTGTCTCTAGGGCAAGTTTTCAGAAAAACAAATTAGATTTGGCATCCAAGTATTTTGAGAAGGCGGTTGATTATCTCATTTCAACAGAAGGAGATGTGGCTCCAGAACTGATACCTCTTTATCAAGAAATAGCCAAAATCAAACAAATGAAAAAAATACATGAAAAAAGCATTTCATATGCATTACAGGTAAAGGACTTCTTTTTTTTAATTTAATTGAAAAATAATGGGAAACTTCAACTGGTGCAAATGACAGTTATGTGTGTTCCTCTAGATCAGGGGTGTCAAACTCAAGGCCCACAGGCCGAATCTGGCCCCTGAGGCCACCCTGGAAACAGCAAAGGACCAGCCCGTGGTGCCTCGGCCAATGAAAATGGAGCTTGGGAAAGTCGCGGGTGGTCTTTCTCGAGCTTGGTTTTCATTGGCAGAGGGTTGCAGGAAGCTGTTGCAGTCAAAAACGGAGCTTGAGAACCTGTTTTCGCTGGCAGAGCACTCAGGCTGCCACAAGTGTCCCGACACGAGAGACGTCGAGCTGGCCATGGCAACTTTGGACACACCCACCCCAGCCACACCCACCCCATCCCCCTGAGGTCAAACACAACCCTGATGTGCCTCTCAATGAAATCTATTTTGCCACTCCTACTCTAGATCACACATTACACCTCTGCTTTCCCAGCTGTATTGGTTGCTAATTTTTTTTTTCCCTGGGTCAATTTAAGGTGCTGGTCTTGACCTTTAAAATCCTATATAAAATGGGATTATATGTATGAAATAAAGTTGGCCAATAACAAAGCACATTATTGTATTTGATTTTTTTTCACCATTGCTACCAGAGGTGGTATTCAGCAGGTTCTGACCAGTTCTGGAGAACCAGTAGCAGAAAATTTGAGCAGTTCGGAGAACCAGCAAATACCACCTCTGACTGGAGATATTACAGTATCCTTCCCCTACCACGCCCACCAAGCCACGCCCACAGAACTGGTATAAAAAAATTGACCACTGATTGCTACTGATATTAAACGCCACCACCCCACCACCCACAAAATATGTGCTGAGATAAATTCCTTTCCTGAAGATGTGATTCTGTGGGAAGCCTCCATGTTGGGGATTAGACCAGGATTCTAACTTTAGGATATAGTGAAAAAAGTTTTGAGAGCCATGGTGGCACAGTGATTAGAAGGCAATATTGCAGGCTAACAACTCTGCAGTGCACTGCCAGGAGTTCAATTCTGAACGGCTCAAGATTGACTCAGCCTTCCATCCTGACGAGGTAGGTAAAATGAGGACCCAGATTGTTAAGGGCAACATGCTGACTGTGTAAACTGCTTAGAGAGAGTTGTAAAGCACTGTAAAGCGGTATATGTTCTGTCTCACCTGTAGCCACAAGGTGAGAGTACAAATTTCCAAAGGAAAATACTCAAACAGACAGAAACAGGAACGACAGAGTTAACTTCCTTTGGCTGAATCCTTCTTTGGCAGTTTTCCCAGAAGCTGCCTACCAAGTCTGATAATGAGCAAAACCATAAATCAGAGGCGAACGCCACACAGAATAATTTATCTGAACTGCTAACTCAAATAAACAAGTTGACCCGAACAGGGATTCAGACCTAACACGCCCCCTTATATTCCCTGAGGGGCATGTCAGTTTCTTTTCTCAGTCCCTGATTTGACATTTCCTTTTACGATGTATGTCACGTTTCTGCCTGCGTCTTTGCCTTGCATCAGACCAGCATTTCTCAGCTTGATCTTCAGCTAATGACTCCGGCACACTCTCCTGATTATCTGCCAACACCTGAGGCACAATCAGGGAGGAAGATTCTGGGGAGAAAGATGATTCCGAAACTTCCAGCAAAGCAGGCTCAAAACTCAAGGCCAAATCCTCCTCTTCCTCATTACTCGAGTCTGTGTCACTCAACAAAGCAGGCTCAACCCTCCGAGTCACAACAGGTATATATGTCTAAGTGCTATTACTATTTGAGGGAATGTACTGCCAGATATCATGTGATAATTTTTGGTTTGTGAATTGCAAATATCCGCCTCTTTCCTTTAGGCTCATTCTGTGTCATTAGCTCTCTACCAGAAATTCAGTCCTGAAGTTGGATCTTCAGCATTATTTATTCCTGGGAAGGGCTTATGCTGCCACAGCAGAAGAGAAACACACTGGTAATTATGGAGTCAAACCATCAGATAAATATTGATTTATAATCCCTATCTTTTTAAAAATAACTCAAGATGGCAAACACATGATGGTAGTAGTAAAGGAGGACACCCCTGGTTAATGTTTTCAGTAACTAGGAAGTTCTTCAATTAATGTTTCTAGTAGATTAAGAAGAAAACAAACTTTAAATGAGAAATATACAGCCCAATAATTACTGGTTCAAAGTTGCCAAGGACACTAACTTCAACTTTAGTGATTTCCAAACTTGTTATAATAGGAAAACCACACTTCTTAAATATTTCAATGAGCATTAACAAGATCATACTAAGAAATTATGGGTTGTTCTGTGTTACATGCTAAAGCTACTGTGCGTATTACATAACACCAGAGATGTGTCAGAATGACTGTTACCAATGAAGTTGACTCACTCCAAACCCAAAATGTTTGAACTGTATGTATATAGAGTATGTATTTCTCCACCTTCTTAAGCTGTTCTTCTTTCGGCTGAGTGGCCAGTAAGGCACCCTCTCTACTTATGTACATAAATACAAAATAAAAATTAATCTATCTTTCTGGTTTGAAGTTTGTTTGGGTAAGGCACAGGGGTGGGATTCTACCAGTTCGCACCTATTCTCTAGAACCAGTTGTTAACATTCTAAGTAGTTCGGAGGACCGGTTGTTAGAAAAAATTACTGGTCTAATCCTGTAAGGAAGGCGGGAAGGAAACATTCTGGTGTCGCTTACAGAAACTGCCTCTCCATTAACTCTTATTACATTCTTGGCAGGACTAGACTTCCTGTCTCAGGAACGTCTCTGGAGTTTTTTTCCCCCTCGTTTGCTGGTACTTTGCTTGTGTGGAGTGACCATTCACACACTTACGACTTGCAGCATCCCCAGTCATGAGAGGCTAGGCGAGAAGATGCATGCCTCAATGTGAGTGATATTGAGTTGGCCACACCCAGCCAATAACATGACCACCAAACCACATCCATCCAGTCACGCCCACCAAGCCATGCCCACCAACTAGCCACACTCACAGAACTGGTTGTTAAATAATTTGAATCCCATCCCTGGTAAGGCACACTGGGCCAACAGACCTGCCAAGGGTTACAGCTAATAAATAATACTCCTTTTTCCTCCTTTCCCCTGGCTCTGTGGAAGACTGCTATGTGTTTAAAAATTTTTTGTCTTGTGTATTTTATTGTAAACTAGTCATGTAAAAGTGAGACAGGCAGCTATATTTAGCCGAATGATTTGAAAAATTTGTACTTCTTTTGGTACAACGAAGTGACATCAAATAAAAGAAGGAAAGTGAAATGGACTAATCCATACAACTTCCTTATACTGATTTGTTTTTCAAGATATATTTCATGCAAAATACACCGCACTTGTTTTTTCTAGAGGCTGCTGAAAGGTATTTCAACGAGAGCTTGGTAGCCTACAAGGAAGCATTAGGAATGGACCATCCTCAGACAATCAGTGCCCTTAAAGTCTTCAGCAAGTGGCTTGGACTTGCTGGAAAAAGAAAGGTAATCACACATTTGCTGGCATACAGCTTGTCTATGCAAAAGCTTCAGGGAAGGACAGAGGCCCTCACAGCCAACAATAATAATCAGCTTGGAGGGATGTCCCACCCCCTCAAAAATGTAGCTATAAATGGGATGAGGACAGTGGTGAGATTCAGCCGCCTTCCACCGGTTCAAGTGAAACGGTTGTTAAATTGCTCCCCACTCTCAAAGTGGATCCTGGGTGCTCCGCTAAAATGAACAAAGGGACAACGGAATCGCTGGCGTAAGGTAAGGAGAAGGCCACTTTCCCTCTTTCTTCTCCCTGGTCCTCCTTCCCTCATGCCAGCTGCTCCATTTTCCTGCAGGATTGCAGGGGAACAGAAATTGACCAAGTGTCTAAAACAGGATAAAAAGCCAATGCTAATTTGCTCCATCCCAGATCTTTAGGCAACACAGGACTGGAATAGGAGACCGAAAAAGATATGCCCAATATACAAAAGAAATTGACCTATAATTCTTGATTACATTTCTGCAACACACTTTTAAAATTAATTTCCATTCCTTTTTTAGAAAGTACTAAAAAGTAGTATTTTCTATTCCTGTACCAGCAGTAGTGTTTGATACTAGAGCATAACCCAGCTAGTTACAAAATGTGGTTAAAATTTACCTTTACAAAGAGGGTAGAAGGGGCGACAGACTCCTGATTTTAACTCTTCCTTCATGACTTGGTTTAATCCGTTGTGCTACCCCATAATGCAGGCCGTTTAGTTTGGATTTAGTTTACTGCAGAAGCTCAGCCTTAGGATATGACCCAGCATTTAAAATGACCCCAGTATGATCAGCACACTCACACAACTTTACTACGAAAGGACAGATGTATCTTGATTGTGGCTTCCCTATAAGAGAGTGTTCCTCGACCTTGTTCATTTGAAGATATGTGGACTTCAACTCGCCATTTTTTTTTACTTCATATGCATGCCAAGGTAAGGTAGATTCCCCATCTGGTCATTTCTTTGGCCAAAGTAGACACATCAGCTTCTCTGTCCACTTAAAGTCCTGTCAACTGAGCTTGGACTTTCAATTTCCAGAGGTGGTTGGTAAGCAGAGGGAAGGATGACTAATAGTTAAGGGGTGTTCGTTTTGCCCACAGCGTAACGTAATAACACTTAGCACCTAACTGAATTTTAGAATCATCGCTTTAAATTAGTTAATATGGTAGGTTTCCATGTTACTTTTTCTGCTGTGGGGAAAAAATGTATTTTCTCTTCCCAATACATTTCTGGTCATTCTAATTCTAATTAACCAACAGAGATTATACTACCTGAGACTTCTCAGAAAACAACAACTGAATGAAAAACTGCTGGTGACCTTCTATCGCTGCACCATAGAAAGTATCTTAACTTACTGCACCTCTGTATGGTTTGCCAATTGCACAGTGGCAGACAGGACAGCACTCCAGAGGGTTAACATCATTGCCCAGAAGATCATTGGTTGCCCTCTTCCCCTCTTTGGAAGAGCTTTATAGCTCCCGCTGCCCTAAGAAAGTTCAAAACATCCTCAAAGATCCATCTCATCCTGGGAACCCCTTTTTTGAACTATTACCAACTGGCAGACAGTACAGGATAATAAAAACAAGGACAAATAAGCTGAAAAACAGCTTCTATCCCAGGGCAGTAGCTCTTTTTAATTCTACTGTATGGTGCAGTTTTGGTGCAGTGTCAGGGGTTTTCAATTCAGTGCCTGGAGTGTGAAGGATGTGCGTTTGTGTTTATTTTCATGGTCATGATGTGCACTGAAGATGGTGTTTGACTTCATTGTACGAGGTGCAATGACAATAAAGTAAACTAACTAAACTAATTAAGCCACTATGAGAAAAGACAGAAGTAGGGCTCATATAAATTGTGTCGCCTCCTTCATTTTTCATCCAACCACCACTCCCTCCTCCATATCCCACTGAATAATTTTCCAAGCATAATGATGGTCTATTTTTCCTAAAATGTTGAATGTCCTAGCTTCTAAAATGGTGGTACTAATTTTTCTTCCGTTTACTTGGAAAGACAGGAAGCCTGAAAGAGGGGAAGTCGTCCGTCCGTCTGTCCGTCCCCGAGTTCAAAATAGGAGAAATGGAAAGGGATTGCCTGTTACCTTGACAAAAAATAAATAAAAACTACATTTAAAATTATTTCTGAAAATATATTATGCAGTATATAAAAAGAGAAATATATCCATTCAGAATTTGGGTTACTTTCTAGATTCAAAGATAAAGCATGTGATACAACCCAGTTTTGCTAAATCTTCCGCCAGGAATTCAGTGAGTGACTCATTTTGACATACAACCAGTATCTCTTTCAGCTCTGTTTCAGAGGCTCAATTTCTAGCTTGTACATTGGGTATGTAAGCCTCACTGCCACACATGTCCCTTGTAATTTTTTACTTTCAGATAACTGAAATAAAAATACCTTTGGCTTTACCCTGCCCTCCTTTTGGACGCCAAGCAAAACCTTTGCCGGGGGAAAAAAAATAGTGTATTCTCATTCTAGAACCTGAGCTGGCGTATTACACACATTCCTCCAGAGGTATTCGCAGCAGCTTCTTCAAAGCGTATTGTCTCCATCTGAATTTTTCCATCACCCTAGTTTTAAGGAAATCAGGTGTGGTTCACTAAATGGCTCAGGAATGTTCTGATCTCTGGCCTTTCAATTGTTCTGTTCTCTTGTTCTGTTTCTTTCCCAGATTGCCTTGAACTAAACAGTTTTCTCGGGCATTAATTCAGTGACATTTTCATGATAGCTACAGTTCTGCTTCTGCCACGTCCTCATCGGGACAACAGTAATATTCCACAAAGCATATCTCTCCATCTTCGTTCCTTATCATATATTGCAACGAAAGAAAGCCTCGGTTGTCTGTCCGAATGGATACTTTGCAAGACAGAGCTAGTGCTTTAATTGATGGCTTGAGTAATGATATCTTGTATCTGTAAAAAAAGGAAAAACATAACGTCAGGTATAACATAGGTATAAGCAGCTGCCACTGTCTGAGTTCAAAAACCCGCAATCCTACACAAACAGCATTACTAGGTGGGAAAAGTAGAATGCCATCCTTTCTTCTCATGCTTTGCTTTCAGTCCAATTTGCTCAGCATTTAAAATGAGCCTGATATGATTAGCACATTCACCACAACTTTACCCTGGAAAGACACACCTATCTGGTTTTGTGGCTTCCCTGTAAAACAGTGTTTCTCAAACTCAGCAACTCGTAGATGTTTGGACTTCAACTCCCAGAATTCCCCAGCCAGTGTGAGGAATGTAATCAAACTCCCACAGAAAACCACACTCCCAACCAAAACTGGCTGGATAAGCTACTGTATATAAACAGGGAATATATAAACAGCAAATCCCACATCACTCACACATTATCCTAGTTGGGTAATGATATGTTCAGAAAGCACCAAGGACGCCACAGATCAATCCTGAGGTGCATATATTCCATTTCTCTTTTCAAAAATATCCAAAATCTCACAGTACTGGACATCCTTGCTAGATTTCTCAATATCATTTCTGATTTGGGGTTTAAAAATTTTTTTTTGACTGTGCAGGATGACATGTATGGCATTCAAAACATTGCCAATTCTGCAACAAAAATTCCAATTAAACAATATTGATCACCTTTCTGGCCGGGGATATGCAGTCTAGGATAAATAGTAAGAGTTGCATGATACAAGTGGTCACTGTGATGCTTTGAAGGTAAATGCATTGGTGTAGCTCACCTGTTTGTTTGTGTTTCATTACAATGAAAGGCTTCAATAAGATCAGAATCTTTGGGGTAATCCAGGTGAGTGCTTCCAGCATTCCCAAAAGTAGATAATCTTAAGAAGAAAAGATGTACCAGACTGAATAACAAAAATAGCAATATCGCATATGTAAACACAGTATATGACAAAACTGAGCAAACCTAATTTAGAATGTGTCATTAACACTATAAATTACTGAAAAATTATGCCTGGCATTGAAGTCTTGAAAATATTACATATTTTCGTCTAAGAGAAAGGAAGACAATGGCTGACTACTGCTGACCTCATTTTCATTTTGGGATTAGTAGGATTTAAGGAGCAAAATGAACTTCAGTCTTACAGAGTCATGTGACATGCATTATGTCCATTAAAAAATTAGCAAGCAGTATAAAAGCTAATTTTTCCCTTTTAAGTAGCAAGAAGAGTTTTCAAATGTTCAAGGATTCTTGCTCCTGAACCATGCCAGCATACAATTTCATCAACCTTAGTTATTTCTGTTTCCCACTAGTTCTTCTGCCATTATAACATGTTTGTAGTGCTTTCCCTTTATCACTAAAGGAAGAATGTTAAATTTCTGGTTCCTCTCAATCACATTCCAAAATGGAAAACAGGTTCCTCCCTGGTGCCGCTGCTCATGTCATGAACCTCAGCACTACATCCTCTGAAGGCCTCGAAAGTATAAACATCTTCAAGACCAACTGCAAAAAGGTTACTCATGGCTGAGCTACTCTGACTTTTGGCAGCTCTCCAAAATCTCGAGCTGTAGCTTTACTACTGGCTAATTAGAGGTCCTTTTCGGCTACAATTTTCCACATACATAATTGGGGTAGGGAGGAAGCCCTGGAATTCAATAGGACTTACGTTTAGATAAGGGAAGGGCTGTTGTGCTAGAGCATAATCAAGATTGAATTTTAAATATGCAAAAATACATTTAGCGTTACTTTCCATTTACTCATTTTATGCCACATGTTTGCACTGTGCTCAGGATCACAGTTTACCTGATTTTGAGCCATGATGATCAGACTAGGACAATTATTTCTACTACCTGAAATAAGGTTTGTCTGGAGACATTGTAATCTGCAGCACTTCACTGGTCATATCTAGTTCTGAAAATGCCTCTCGGAGTCCCTCTGACTGCAGGATAATTTTATTTACAACATTAGTACTGCAGAAGTCAAAATCAAGAATTTCTTCAGGTTCCTGAGTGTTGATTTTACAT